AAAAAAAAAACTAATCATTATGCATGCTTTATCATATAGGGGATATATATTTGATACATACAAATATGTCATATTATAGTAATAATATTTAATATTTTACAGAAGTAATAGCTAATATTTTGTGATGATCACCATTAGAGAAATGAGACTTAGCTTGGGGAGTCCAATTCCTTCTCCCACTTAGGTTGGAACTTTGGGTGCTGGGCCCAAATGGAAACAAGGCCTTTACTTCTAACCAAATGGATTTTGGGGTCCCAGAGGTCCGGGCCATGGCCAATTAAAACCTACCACAGTGGCCATGGACAGTCCCTGTCTCTCAAGCCTGGTCTCCTACCTATGATGGGTGGTACTGGATGGACCGAGAGTGACAGTGCCCTACCCACAGGAGTCAGGGCTGTCGGCATGGATCGGTGGGCAGCTGCACCCACTGGAGCACGTGCCACCCGTACTGGCCGTGATGCTCATCACTGTGGTCATCGCCTTCTTCACAGAGTTCGCCAGCAACACAGCTACCATCATCATCTTCCTGCCTGTCCTGGCAGAGCTGGTGAGGGTCCCCTCTGCGGCTGGGTGGAAGGGCACCTCTTCCCCTGCTCCTAACTCAGGCTCCCCTGCTACCAAGCTTCCTCAGAGGCTCTGGTTGCCCTATTCGCTTCCAGAATGCTCAAGAGGGTCAGCAGCACAGAGCCATCTCTCAAACCATAGGGACTTCTTTCTTCAAGACATGCCAAATGGAGGGAATATTTTCATGGTGCCACAAGACCCCTCAAGGGAGAACTATCCCATGGTCTCTAGGAAGAGAAAGATTACCAAATTTGGGTCAAGTGGTAAATCTGGGTAGGCAGAGTGGTATAGGAGAAATTCTAGGGGTCTGAGAGCCACAGCCTTCTTCTACAGCTGGCACAGTTGACCATTTCAGCCCCAAGAATTCTCCACGGTGAGGGCTGCCCTGTGCATTGTGGGGATCAGAACACCCCACCTTCCACTCACCACAGACTAGCACATAGTGGCAATTCAGGATGCTACCGGACATTGCCAAGTGTCTCCTGAAAGGACAAGTTCTGCCCTACTGAGACCCTCTGGTCTAAAAGACACCAGCCCTAGATGGTCTAGTCTGGGAGAGGCCAGGGTGTTTGATCTAGAATGTTCTTTTGTTAGATGAGAGTTAACAAACCTTCCACAGTGAGTTTTCACCTCACCTCCAACTGTTCCAGGTACTGAAAGATGCAGATGCCCTGCAGTCTATGTGCAAGGTCAGCAAAAACCCGAGGCCGAAACCAGGCAGGGACAGCAAAGCTGGGGAAGTAGTGTGAACCTGAGTGCAGGGATGGGGATGTGGGGCCAAGCTGTGTCTGGGACTGTAGTTAAGGGCACAGGGCACCAGCAGGCAGGTTTAATAGGAGGGGTTTAAAATAGGATGAATACTGGGTAACTACCAATGCGGTTTATGTTTGATCACACAAAGCCCATACAATGAAACCAGTGTGGCAGGCACAGGTGTTTGCTATGCAGACAGCCAGATGCCAGCCATGCATCCACTTTGTTTGGTACTTGGCTTTGCTTACTACGACTCCATTTTCAATGGCATTAATGCTGTCAACCCACAGAGATAGATCCATGTGTTCTTTTTTGAGCACCAGAGGAGATTCCAATGTAGATGAATAGATTATGCACCCTCTGAATGGACATGTAGAGGTTTCCAGAATGCTATCACGTGACCCTCACCTTATGTATGCATGGCTGTTTATATCTGGAGAAGTTTCCAAACATAGATGCTGGGTGACAGATTACAGACACTCAGAACTGTGCTGGATACGATCACATTGCTCTCTACAGGAGCACCCTGGAGACCTTCTCATCACAATGTGGGTGGGGGCTCCTTGGACACTTCTGAGTGGGACTGTATTTATCAAATCCCACCTCGGGTTCTACCATACCTGGCAATAGAGGGAGATGGGGTACTATGGGGTGGTATGGGGGAGGGGAGGGAGCACAGTGGTCTATAAGGGGCAGCCCTAGAAAAAATGCCCACAAAGGACACATTCTCTCAAATATTGACTCTCATCTAAATCAAAACATTTACAAACAGGTGATATTAGCACCTTTTGAGAAAATTCTTATACTTTGGGTTGCAGAAATTCCATCAAGGGGACCAGATGTCTAAAGTAAAATGTCAGAGACACGATCAGCATGGAGTGTCATTTGTCAGCACCTGAAATGAAGCCACGCCGAGTCCTCCATTTTAGGACTGTGGCAGTGCTCACCAGGGAATGCTGACCTGGATGCTCCTTAGCTCTAAATTCCAGCCAGACCCTGACCAAAGGTGCCCTGCACCAGCTGCTTAGAGGGCGTGGCTGAGGGCGAGGCCAAGCCTCAGTATGGCAGCTCTGGTTCTCAGCCTGTTGCCCTGGACCAGCAGCCCCTGTGGCACCTGGGAACGTATGAGAGTTGCAGTGTCTTGGGTTCCACTCAGACCTCTGGATTAGCTTCTCTAGAGGAGCTGGGGCTATAATCCCATGCACATGGGAAGGAGGGTTCTAGATAAGTCTCCCCAGCTGATAAAATGCAGGTGTGGTCTGAAGTCACTGGCCTAGAGGTCTTTCTGTCTCTCTGGGTCTGCCTGTCCCGTGTCCGTATGTCCATATGTCTGTCTGCATTTCTGTCTATGCCTCTTCCGTCTCTTCCCATGTCTCTCTCTCTCTGTCACTCTGACCATCTGTATCATTGTCACTGCCTTTCTAACAGTTTCAATCTCTTGTTGTGACTCCTCTGTGCCTGTCTGTGACTTGGTCCCTGCCCCTCCCGGCCAGGCCATCCGCCTTCGTGTCCACCCCCTGTATCTGATGATTCCTGGCACTATCGGCTGCTCCTATGCCTTTATGCTGCCAGTCTCCACGCCCCCCAACTCCATCGCCTTCGCCTCTGGACACTTGCTGGTCAAAGACATGGTGAGTACGGACCTTTCTAGAAGTGGCCTGGAAGGGGGGGGGAGGGTAGGGAATAAGGGGTAGGCGGGCAAGGCAGGACCAGATGTTGCCAATCTATTCCATGCCTCCAAATGGGGCTCCTGTTGAGCCAGCCCTCCACTTCCCCGCCTTCTCATCCCTCTGCTCCCCCTCCTCCTCTTCCTCCTGTCTCCCCTTCTCCTCCTTCTGCTCTTCCTCCTCCGTCCTTACCCTCGTGCCTGGGGCATTTGTTCAGAAGTCTCAGCTCACAAAGCTGAGAAGGACTATCTGCTTAACAAGGCACAAGACTCCAACAGGGTAGATGGAGCAAGAGGCAGAAAGGGACACTGGGGACAGAGTTCCCAGCCTTTCCTTCAGGCCTTGTTTGCTGAGAGCAGTCTGTGTTCCAGCCACTAGGGAGCAGCAGTCTGGGACCATCACTAGATTGCCTCTGGGGAAGGTTTCTGGGGATGGAGGCAGATCCTGAGACCAGTTCCCACATTTTTAAAAAGGGAGTAAATTTTAGGATTGCTAAATATAAGGAATGAAATAAGATGCAAGGTGCTGGGAAACAGAAGAGAATGGTGGGGTGGGCAGGATGGCCCCTCTGAGGAGGTGACCTCTGAGCTAACAGGGAACCCAGGAACACTCCAGCCTTGCAAGGAACAGAAGCTTACAGGAGCAGGGCTGTGCAGGCAGTGCCCAGCCAGAGAAAGGCCTAGAAGTGGGGCGCTCCATGTGGACAGACATGCAGGGCCAGGGGCTGCTGGGCCTGTTGGGTTTGGAGAGAGATGAGGTCTTGGGGACCCTGGGCAGGCCCAGCAGGCTTTGTAGGCCACGGGTGCACTTACATACATGCAGGCAATACACTCATACACATAAAATAA